GCACATGATGGAACACTTTTCAAGATGCCATTCCCAAAACTTTGACCACTTGGAATTTTGCTTTTATTCTACCCTTTAAGCACATCATTTTTTGAACCATGTTGTGACTTTAGCTTGTGTCTACCAATTGCTGCTGACCTTTAAGGACCACATGCAACCGATTGCTTGTTATGACAACAAGGAGACAAGAAAAAAAGTGATGCAATTCTTTCCAGATATGTCATCAGAAAGGCTAGAAGGGTTTTCTCACTTCACTCTCTCATACTTATAAGCCTGAATGCATCAGCATTTTGGAAGTCTCCTGGCTGTGCAAGACATGAGTCTGTAACTGCCTGTCTCTATGCAGTGGGCATAGCAGTCTTTGTTGAAGGAGTACCTGAGCCAAATCAGCAGCCTGTTCAGGGAGCATTTGTAGCAAAGTAGATGCTGTAGATGGGTGTGGGAAGATCTGCATCAGGAGGAAAACACTGCCAGTGGAACTGCTCTCTGCCTGTGCTACTGGCATGGCTTCTACTTCTTCATTGGGTGTGTGAAGTAGAAACAAAGAAATGCCTGGTGTCTGATCCTATTCCTGTTCTGCATGAGTCGTACCTTCCAGGTGATGTCCTTATTGGTGGGATGGTTTCCCCGATCATTTGCCTTTTCCCAGAATTTTCATTCACGGAATGCCCTTGGGAGGAGTTCTCAGTGCGTGTACGGTACGGAATGCTTCTTTGTTCTCTTTCTTGCCAAATCAGACTCGGCTAACTGTATGTGCTGTCAATGGAGCTGAAGTTTCACTGAACCTGGATCTTTTCTTTCCTGGAAAGTGTAATAAGTAGGGAAACAGGTGGACTTTGATGAATCAAGCATCTGTTTCTGCTCTGAACAACCACAGGCTGGGTGAAGACTGGGTCAGACAGTGCCTTAAAAAGGAGTGGATGTTTAAGTAAAGGATGCAGATGCATTTGGATCTAAATTCAAGCCATTTGAAAATAAGGAACAGTTAAAAGCCAGCTTTCTATGAAGGGAAAGTCAATAGAAGTATACATTGTCTTTAATACAACTTCTCATAACCATACTCACTGCCTACATCAGGTCTGAGGTTCATTCCAATATTCCATGGAGTGTTGCTCTGTAATCTTGTTTCAAGAAAAATCATCAGAAAAGTCAAATATTCAAATGTACACTATATCAGAAATACAAAATATAAAATACTTTCTTTTATGTACTAAAGAATAATCCAATTTCAGTCTCAAACATGGATAAGCACAACCAGAATGGCCCCAAGGAGTTTCTGCAGGAGACAGCAAGTGAGAAACCCCAAGGAGGTCCTTGCAGACCATGAGCTCCATGTGAGTCTTCCTCACACTCATTTATCCTCTTGCTGGAGGTGGCCTGTAAAATTCAGGAAAATCTCAGCCCATCCCTCACAGACCAAGGGTGAGATATACTCATGGTTTGCTTGTCCGGAAGGTATCTTTTGTGGTGTAGAGGTTAAAAGTGCACATGTGGTAGCACAGACAACAGCATGGCACTAGGACTGAGGCAAGCTGGATTCTAGCCCCCTCTTGGCCATCAGACAAACTGGTTGGGGTAAGATTCAGAAAAGAAAGAGATGAATAGTGGAAGCCTCTCTCATTACATAAGAAGAGAATCAGGATGGAAATAAATAAATTACTAAATACATTGGAGCTGTGTTGGGTTAATCACATTTGTTTCATTCTCATGTGCCACTAGAAAATTCCCTATGTGATCCCCCAACGTATCCCACACCCTTTCCAAACTGGGTGTATCTCCTACCTTATAAATGTTCTACCGTAGACTCCATGTTTGAATAACATTTCGGGACGGACAATGCACTCTATTTCTGGTACATCTGAATAAATGCAACCCAGCAAACTCTCTTTGGGTAGATATATACTGGTACAATTTGTCCTGCGTTGCTAGTTCTTTCCCTGAGTGGATCCTCTCATCCATCATAAATGTTGTTGCCTTAGAAGAAGAGAGTTATCAGTAAATTTAAATTCACAAATGAAAAGAATATAGATCTCTCCCAATTATACAATACTCAAAATAGCAAAAGCCAAATCCA